AAAAAAATATAATAGAAAACAGAGAGATCTCTTGCAAACAGAAAGAGAAATGAAGAGATGGAAGGACTGGAGGGAAAGGAGGGTAAGAGGAAGTAAGAAGAATTAAGGTGTGTTATGTACATGTACATAATGATACATGTAATTGATGTGTACTGAAACTATGTATTAATAAATATAAAAAATGTAAAAATAAATTTTAAAATTCTCTCACCCAATATGTCTAAGAAGAAAATTAGCCCTGGTACTAGGAACATGATGACCTCTCCAGAAATTTAAAAATGAGTTCTAGGAAATTTTGATTCTATAAAACTTATGACTTGGTATGCTACCAAGTTAAACAGATCATAGTAATGGAATAATTAGAAGATTAAGCCAGTCAGAAGAAGAAAATGACTGAATATTTCCTAAGGACTTGGGAAAATTACATTTGAGTTGCTCTTGGAACAGTTTCAGGTTTTGTTTTTTTTGTTGTTGTGTTTTTTTTCTTTTTATTGAGTTTACTGGTACAATCTAGGTATACAATACAGTTACATTCATCATTGGGATCCTGTACCTTTACATAATAGGTCTTGATTCTCATTTTTTCCCCTTGTCCCTGCCCTCCCTTCACCCCCTATCCCTTATTCTTTCCTCCACCCTTCCCACTTTCCCTACACCTTTAGTCTTTTACTTACTATTTCCCATTATTAATTATTTCGTTAGGATCCTGTGTACTATTATAGTTTTTCACACCAGAGAAACTATTTGGTATTTCAGTTAAAGAAATCTCTGTATGAACATTAAAAATAGGCAATCCTAAAATAAAACTAAAAAGGAAAGTAAAAGAGAAAAGGCAATGATGTAACATTAAAATAATCCCTAATTCTGGAGATGAAAATGGTCCCTGAACATATTTAAATCGCTTCTTGCTCTTGTAGTCTTATCTTATTCTTTTTTTCATTATTTAGAGAACACTTTATTAGTTTCTGTAATCAAACCCAAGTAGATAAGACCTTACATATTTAGTACAATGTGTTACCCCTGTACACATGGAATAAAAAATAAAAAATAAAAATAAAAAAATTAACATTTCTAGACCAATATGGCTGTCCATTTCTGTACAATGCCAACTCAACACAGTAAATTGGGATGACTTTTTCCAAAGTTGACAGCACCATAGTTTCAGGTTTTGTACTACTCTGTTTTTAAAATAAAATTCAGAGAGAAGCATCTTGATGGATGTTATGATGTGTCTAGATGTCCCCCAAAATCTCATGTAGTCATAGGTGGGGCTTTTCAGAGGTGGCTAGATCTCAAGTATGTGATGCCAGCATTGTGTGACACGAGGATCAAGGATGTATAATTACTAAATTAGTCCACTGATTGGTTTGGCAAAGTTCCAGGTGTGGATAATGGAAAGCCCACCCAGGATGTGAATGCTACCCACCACAAGGGTGGGTATCCTGGATAGAACATAAGGACAGAGAGAGTGATGCTGTTGCCACTTGTCACTTTCTGCTTGCTACTTCATTGCTTTGTTACCAAGGTTGATGCTGGCCAGTGTAATATCTCTTATAACCAAGGCTGCTGTTTATATAAGCACATGGCCATTATTGTGTATTTTGGTATAAATGTAGACCACCACAAGGGCTGGCAAGTGACTAAGTAACCTAAAACTGCTGTGAGAATGGGAGGATCAGCCTGAGGATTGCCACATGGGTGCAGCTTATATTCAGCTATCTCCAAACTTTGTATCTCTTTTCCAGGCTTCCAGAAACTCAAGTGAACCTCCCCAGTATGAACTAATGACAAGACGGGACGTCCAATAAACTATAGGAAATTGAGGCCCTGGCACTAACATGTATATTATGCATTAAATACCACCCAGACACACTTCCTACTATTTATGTCACATTCAGCTTTTAACAAAACATTACGAGGTATGCTTAAATGCAAGAAGAAGACCACCATCTGATTAGATAAAACAACCACTAGATGGGATCATATGTAAATTAATTTAAAATTGTTTAGGAATTTAAAATAATGATGATTAATATGTTAAAGGATCTAACAGAAAAGACAACATTAAGAACAGATCCTGTAAAAATGAAAACTTTAAAAGAGAATCAAAAGGAAATACTAAACATCAAAAATATCATAACATAAATGAAGAATGGCCACATCAAATAAATTGACACATTCATAGTTGAGGTCACAAGTAAATCTGAATGTAATTAAATAGAAATTTCTCACACTGAAGTGCAAATAAAAGAGAAAAAACAGAATATCTATTAAATATGGAAGCATTTCAAAAGGTTGAAATATAAAGGGCTGAAGATATAGCTCAGAGGTAGAGTTTGTGCTTAACATGTGAGAAGCCCTAGGTTCAATTCTCAGCACATGCATACACACACACACACACATAAAAACCAAAAAAGAAAAAAAATGCACAATATATTAATAAATGTAATAGGATGACCAGAAGGAAAAGAGAAAGGTACAGAAGAAATATTTGTTCTGGGGTTTTTGTTGTTGTTCTACCAGGGATTGAACTCAGGACCTTGTTTGCTAAACAGGCACAGTGCCACTAAGCTAAATCCTTGGCCCAGAAGAAATATCTGAAGAAATAATAACTCTAAATTTTTTTAACTAGTCTGATTTCAAATTACATTATCTCCAAAAGTTCATAGAACAGGATAAAAAGCCAACAAAATACACCTAGATATAGTGGCTGCCCACTGACAACAAAAAAGGATTAAAACACTCCAATTACAAACATTCTATTCTTGGTACTCAGAAAGGAAAAAAGAGGAAATGCATGAAAGTGTTTAGGATTGACACCGGCAGGACTCTGGGGGAAAAAGGAACCGTTCTCCACTGTTGGTGGGAGTGTAGACTGGTGCAACCCCTATGGAAATCAGTGTGGAGATTCCTCAAAACACTAAAACTAGAGGTTCCATTCGATATAGCTATTCCCTTTCTTGGTATCTTCCCAAAAGAATTAAAAGCATCCTACCTCAGTGATGTATGCACATCCATGTTTATCTTGGAAAAAACCCAAATGCCCATCGGCTGACAAATGAATAAAGATGTGTGTTTTTTATACAATGGAATATTACTCTATCATAAAGAAGGGTGAGCTTGAGATATTTAAATACCACATCATTTCTCTGGTGTGAGAAACTGAAAGTGGAAGTAAGGATGAAAATATGTAACAGATACTGGGAATGAGAAGAAAATGTTCAAATGAGCCAGGCGTGGTGGCACACGTCTGTAATCCCAGCACTGAGGAGGCTGAGGCAGGAGGATCGATGTGAGTTCGAGACCAGCCTGGGCTACATAGTGAGTTCCAGGTCAGTCTCAACTACATAGTGAGATCCTGTCTCAAAAAAAAAAAAAATGTTCAAATGAGAAGGGGGACAAAGGAGAGGGGAGGGAGAAAGAAGGGACAAGAAAAAAGAGAATAAAAGGAAGAAACAGAAACAAAGCTTTTGTAATAGGGAGGGGGAAAAGGGTAGAAGGAGGAGAGAGGGATGTAAAAAAAGAGGCAAGATGTTTATGAACTGTCAATTTTATCACTGATTTTGGGGGGGCAGGGAGGATGTGTGTCACTTTGGAATCAACTTTTACATATTTAGCTTTATTAAAAGATTTCTGTCAGGGTTGGGAATTTAGCTCAGTGGCACTGAGCCTACCTCACAAGTGCAAGGTCCTGAGTTCAATTCCCAGTACCAGGGAAAAGAAAAAAAGAAAATACTTCTGTCAGTTTTAAAAAACAAAGCATGGGGCTGGGGATTTACTTAGTGGTTCTGCCATCTGCCTCACAAGTGCAAGGTCCCGAGTTTGATCCCCAGTACCCCCTCAAAAAAAAACACACTGTATTTTAACCTCTACTTTTTTTTGACATTGTAAATCTCAGAAATTTAGAGGAAGTGTTATACATTGATGGAACTGTGTGAGTTAATTCATTGATAAAATTCATGAATATATAACCTATATATGATTTTCTACAGTATTTCAAAACTCTAATGTTTATTACAGTCATATAATACATGCAACCATTACAAAGGATGTTGTAGAAAAGTATTTTATGATGTAGAAATATGGTCAAAATATGTTGCATAATAAAAGCACATTACATAAAGTATTAATGTATTATTTTTATAATGTAACAATACACCCAGAAAAAGATAAAAAGGATCTAGTACAGTGGTGGTGAACCTATGGCACATGTGTTATTTTTCATTTAAAACAAAAGAGTGCTGGATGTGGCGGCACATGCCTATAAAGCCAGCACTTGGAAGGCTGAGATAGGAGGATCCCCGAATTCAAAACTAGCCTGTGCTACACAGTGAGACTCTGTTTCAAGGTCATCCTGAACTACACAGTGAGACTCTGTTTCAAAAAAAAAAGATGTTAATGTATGAGTTGTTTTTTCAAAACTGCAACTTTTTTTTTTTTTTTTTTTTTTTTTGGTACCGGGGATTGAACTCTGGTCCTTGCACTTGCAAGGCAGGTTGCAAAACCACTGAGCTAAATCCCAGGCCCCTCAGTAGTCAGGTTTAATTGCAGTGTTGGCACTTGGCAATAAACAAGTGGGTTTGGAGTTGCAGTTTAGGCACTTTTCTCTGAAAAGTTCACTATCACTCATGATATGTGTGTGTGTGTGTGTGTGTGTGTGTGTGTGTGTGTGTGTGTTTAGAGTGTGTTTTTTTTTTTTTTTTTTTTTTGGTACCAGGGATCAAACTCAGAACCTTGCACTTTTGAGGCAGGTGGCAGAACCACTGAGCTAAATCCCTGGCCCAAGAATGAATTATTTTTAATTATCTATACTCCTCTGAATTTTCCAAAATTTCTATAATAAACATTTGTATTATGAAAAAGTGATGAAAGCTATTGTTTCAAAGTGTAACAATGAATACATGGGTCTCTATGTCCCAGGATGGATCACATTTGCTTCCTATTTAGATCTAAAAATGTCTTCCTTGCAAGGCACAGTCAGTCAGTCTAGTAGCACTTACCTGTCCAAGTGCTTGCAGGTTATAGCAGACAATGTCCTTATAGACTGTTGAAGTTCCATAAAGAAGTGCCTCCGTGAGCCAGCAAATTCCCAGGAGCAGGTCAGAGCAGCTCAGATAAAAGAGTGGCCTTATCTGTCAAAAGCCATAAAATTCTCATATAAGTGAGACAGCTGCACAAAAATCAGTTTTTCCTTTTTTAGAGACAGGGTCTCAGTAGTTTAGGCTGGCCTTCAACTTTGCAGTCCAGGCTGGCCTTGAACTCACAGTGAGCCTCCCGTGTCAGCCTCCCAAGTGCTGGGATTACAGGAATGAGCCACCACACCCAACTCTAAGAATCAATTATTTTTACAGTTTAAGTTTTGAATAGAAAACCAGGTGTCATTTTGCCAATACTTCTGCTATTGATTGTGGGGAAGGTAAAGGAAAATTTCAGATGGAATCACAACTATCTCAACTGTCTGGAATCAGAACACTCACGGATGGATTAACACTCAACCTCCTTACTCAAAAGGACACTACTCATAGGGACAGTATGAATGAAAAAGTTAAAAAATACTGTGGTGGAGACACACCACAAATGAGAAATCAAGAGTTCTCCAGGTGAATTGTCAATATCCTCTAAAATTAGAAAATGAGATCATCAGCTGTTTAGGAAATGGTCGAGAACTTCTGACCACATTGATGAAGTTTGTCTTCTTACTTTTTAGTATCCTTCTCCTTTGGATTACGCATTCCTGCTTATTTAAAAATAATTTTGGTCCTTTTACAACTCTGGCAGGGTACAATGGTGCATGTCTGTAAACCCAGTACTCTGGGAAGCTGAGGAAGAAGGATCATAAATTCAAACCCAGCCTGAACAACTGAGTGACTTAACATGGCTCTGTCTCAAAAGATTTTTTTGGGGGGTGTATTGGGGATCGAACTCAGAACCTTGTGCTTGTGAGGCAGGCAGTGGAACCACTGAGCTAAATCCCCAGCCCCTTCAAAAGATATTTTAAAAGAATATGAGAACACTGGGCATGGTGGCACATGCTTGTAATCCCAGTACTCGGGGTGGGGGTGGGGCTGAGGCAAAGAGGCTGCCACAAGTTCAAGGTCAGCCTGGGCTGCACAGTGCGTTCAAAGCTGGCCTGAACTACATAGTGAGATGCTGTCTCAAAAAAACTCCAAACAAACAAACAAAAAAACCAACTGTGAGGATGTAGTTCACTGTGAAGGCCCTGGGTTCTATCCCCATTGTTGTTATTATTGTTATTTTGGTACCAAGGATCAAACTCGGGAACTTGCACCTACCTGCAAGGCAGGTGGTGGAACCACTGAGCTAAATCCCCAGCCCTATCCCTAATAGGGAAATGGGAAAGGGGAAGGGGAAGGGGAAGGGAAGTGGAAAGGAGAGAGAAAGAGAGGAGGGGGAGAGAGGAGGGAGAGAAGAAGAAAGGAAGGAAGGGAGGGAGGGAGGGGAAGAGAGAGAGAGTAGAAAGTATTGCCATAATGATTTGGAAAAGTGGCATTGTCAGGTATAGTGGCACATGCCTGTAATCACAGAACTCAAGAGGCTTAGGCAAGACCACTGCAAGATGAGGCCATTCTGGGCTACATAATGGGTTCAAAGCCGGTTTGAACCGCATAGCAAAATCCTGTCCATTCCCCCCAAAGTGGCATTAATCTAGAAGATATACAGGTGAATAGTTCTAATATTAGGTAAATTCATTACATAAATGTGTTCATTTGTTTATTACACATTTACAAGAATGTTTATAGCAGTAGAATACTATATATCAATAAAAATGAAATGTACCAGAGCTATACACAACATAGACAAATCTCACAAAAAATATTGAGGAATAAATGCAAATCACAAAATATATATGGGAGTTGGGCACAATGGTATTTGTCTATAGTCCCAGTTACTTGGGAAGTTGAAGTAGGAGGAACACTTGAAATCAGGAGTTTAGGCCAGCCTGAGAAACATAGCAAAAAAAAATCTTGTCTTAAACAAAAAAACATAGTATTGCTCCATTTACATCAAATTCAAAAAAAGCAACACTAAATTGTTTAGAGATATATACATTACCAGCAAACTAGACATAAAGCAAGAAATAATTACCATAAAATCTAGATGCTAGGCATGGTGGCACACACTTGTGATTCCAACACTCAGGAGGCTGAGGCAGGAGGATCACAGTGAGTCCAAGGCCACTTGGGCTACATAGTGAGTCCAAGGCCAGCCTGAACTACATAGCCAAGACCCTGTCTCAAAAAGCAAAAAACAAAACAAAAAAAACTCTAGAGACTGGTTACCTCCAGAGGTGAGGAAGAAAGCTGTGACTGGGGGAAGACTTGTTTTGAGATACAGCTAATGTTCTATTTATTTGTTCCTAACCATTTTTTATGTTATTTTATTTAGCTAACAGAAATACAAACAACTGAAATAATGTACAATAAGCATTTTTTTGGGTACCAGGGATTGAACTCAGGACCTTGCATTTGTGAGGCAGGTGGGGTGCCAGTGAACTAAATCTCCTGCCCTGAAAAATAAGCATTTTAAAGTACAGCGTAATCTGAGTGTGGTGGCCATGTCTGAAATCCTAGCTATTGGGGAGGCTGAGAAGGGAGGATCTCAAATTCAGGACCAGTTTGGGCAGCATAGGGAGACCTTGTAAGAATAAATAAGTTAATAAAAAAACAAGTAGGCATGTAATAATTATCAGATATTATTTAGCCATATATAGCCTATGGTAAGTTTATTTAAATTGAAGCCAACTAGTGTGGTGTAATCCCAGCACTCAGGAGGCTGAGGCAGGAGGACTGCTAGGAGTTGGAGACCAGCCTAGGCTCCATGGTGAGTTCTAGGCCAGCCTGACCCTGTCTCAAAAAAAAAAAACAAAACCATTACAGCCAGATGGGACATTCAGAGATTCTACTAGTCTAGAGCCTACCACAGGTTTGCAATTGTTAACAGACTAAAAAATTAAGGCTAAATATGAAATAAACCCTGGAGAAACAAGACAGACTAATTTGAGAAATATTCCTATATAGAGAGAGTTGTTGGCCATTAAGACATATCTGAGGTTTTTGGTAGGGAAGGAGGATAAAAAAGGAGTTTATTTGCCCACATTCATGACAGAAAACCATAAATTCTCACAAGAAAAGATAAAATATATCAAATAAACAACAAATATTAACTAAGTATCCATTAATGAATTCAAGAAAGATTTAGACTTCTTATGCACAAGATCCAGAATTCAAGGAAAAATATGTATAATATAACTTATTTTCTTTTTTTATTGAGTTTATTGGTACACTTAAGGTATACAGTACAATTACGTTCATTATTGGGATCTTGTACCTTTACATGACTGGTCTTGGTTCTCATTTTTTTCCCCTTGTCCATTCAATATAACTTATTTTCTTAAGAAAACTATAATTAGCACAGTCATTGGTAATAAGGAAAACTCAAAAAAGCATAAGACATATTGGACATGGCAGTGAATGCCTGTAATCCCAGCACTCATGAGACTGTCCCAAGTTTGAGGCCAACCTGGGGTACATAGTGAATTCAAGGCTAGCCTGAACTACATAAAAAGACCGTCTCAAAAAACAAAACAAAACCAAAAAAGGCTTAAAATATGTTCCTAAACATGAAAGCAGCCACGGATATAGCTCAGTGGTGCTGTGCCTGCCTGACAAGTGCAAAGTTCTGAATGTGATCCCCGGTAGCCAAAAGAAAAAACCACAACCAACCAACCAAACAAACAAACAAACAAAAAAATGAAAGCAAAATCTCTAAAAACACATACATATACAATTGCATTTGTCTTTAATTTAAACAGGTGCTAAACAAGGGAGTAGGGAGAAAAAAAATACAAGTGTAGGGCTCAGGATTTAGCTTAGTGGTTCTGCAGCCTGCCTTGCAAGCACAAGGACCCGAGTTCGATTCCTAGTACCAAAATAAATAAAATAAAATAAATACAAGTGTAAAAAGTTTTCCCCAGGCAAGTTTCAGGTCCAGGTCTAGCCTCAGGAAGTGAGAACGTACAATTCATACTAATATTCCTCTAAAATACTACTTCTCTATACTTCCATCTAAGTGAAACAAATTACTCTCCAATTTAATATCATCAGCCTTTTATTATTCTTTTGTTTTGTTCCTGAGACAGGTTTGTTGTTTTTGGTATCAGGGATTGAACTCAGGACCTTGCATTTGCAATGCAGGTGTCAGAACCACTGAGCTAAATCCCCAGCCCAATAGGGTTTTGCTATGTAGTCCAGGCTAGCTTCAAACTTGAAGCTTTGGCCTCCCAAATATATAGTATATTAATTCAGTAGACCATTTTTTTCAGATTATCTTCCATGTTTTTACTGTTAAAAATATTCTTTTTTGTTCCGTTTTGTTTTGGGTTTTGTTTTTTTGTTTTTTGAGACAGGGTCTTACTATGTAGTTGAGACTGCTCTGGAACTCACTATGTAGCCCAGGCTGGTCTCAAACTCACAGCGATCCTCCTGCCTTAGCCTCCTGAGTGCTAGGATTACAGGCATGCGCCACCACGCCCGGCACTGCTAAAAATATTCTTTAATGAAGAACTAAGGGAAAAGAGTGGAGCATAGATGACCTGTAAAAATGAAAATTTTTCTAGACCAAGAAGATAAAATGTGTAGAAACAACTAAGAGACACTAAGATCCTTAGGTTCTGGCAATGTAAATTATATGAGAAATAAAGCCACAGAAATCAAAGGTCCCATTCTAAGCCAAACTAGACTCTACCTCTTTACAAAGCCCTAACACATGGCATGTTACCTTAGAATACGTCACCTTAAAGCAAGCAGGAGTGAGCTGTCCCCATTCCAAGGAATATTTGACAATGTCTAAAGACATTTTTTGTTGTTATAACTGAAAAGGGGAAGGTGTGCTATTAATATCTGGTGAGTAAGGTCTGCTAAACATCTTCCTGTGCATAGTAGCACCCAATAACAAGCAATTATGTAGCCCAAAAGTCAATAGTGCTGGGGTTGAAAAACTATACTTTAGAAGTGAAGCTTAGTTCATTCCAGGGTGTAGCTCATGCTTTACTAATTTAGTCACAGCTAGACTCAAGTTCCAACAAAGGAAACATTAGAAAAATCTTAACCAGAGGAACATTTGGCCTAAAATTACTTTGGCAGACAAGGACAATTTAGTATCAAGATTTTTTTTTTAGACTTTGTTCCCTAGGCTGGCCTCCAACTTCTGGGCTCAAGAGATCCCTATCTCATCTCCCAACAGCTAAATGTACAGGCTTGAAACCAAACTGATTACTTTCTAGTTTTACTTACATAGTTATATTCAAATTCTGAAACTTTAAAATTCTCTTTCATTAGGCATTATATCTCAGTGGTTTTAAAAGTGCACATGGGCAATATTTTTCAACTAGACAAGTCTGAACTCAAATTTCAACTTTAACTATTCCTAGCTACAGTATAAATCCTCAGGAAAGTCTCTCAATCTAAGATTCCATCTCGTATCTGCAACATCTGACTAATAATGTCCATATCAGAGTTGTTCTTGTTGCTGCTGTTGAATCCTGTTGTGCTATTTGGTGGTAGGGATAGCTCAAGGTTCCGTCGCTTGTCTCGCAAGCACAAGGTCTCAAGTTTGATCCCCCGTACAAAAAAAAAAAAAAAAAAAAAAAAAAAAAAGATATTCACATTAAAAATTCCTGTTCTGCTAGTTACTATGTAACTTGAATAACTCATTTCCTGACTCTGAGCCTCAATTTCTCAATTTCTTCATCTGTGAAATAAGCCTAATATTATCCTTCTGATAGGAGAGTGATAAGGAACAATGAGATGAAGTATATAAATACTCAAGACAGCTGGAACATAGTGTCTTAGTCACTTTGCTCGTCATGAAGACAAAATACCCAACACCTGCAATTTGAAGGCGAGGTTAATTTTGGCTGACGGTTTCACTTCATGCTTTGCTGGCTCCAAGGCAGATACAGCATGTTGCAAGGGCCTGAGCAGAGGACAGCTGCTCATCCCATGGCAGTCAGCAAGCAAAGGGAGAAGAGACCACATGGGGACAGAAATAATCCCTTCCAGGTCACACCTCCAATGAAGCCCTGCTTCCTGCAGCACAGTTAGCTACTGAACTCATCAATGGACGAATCCTCTGATGACTGTGGTACCCACTTGACCCAATCACCTTCTAAACACAGAAGATTTTAGGGGACACTGTATATCTAAACCATAAAAGTAAGTATTCCATTAACAGAAACTTTTTTATTATTGAAGTTGAGTCCATTAAAACCTACTGGTTCTGGGTATGGTAGGGCATACCTGTAATGCCAGCTATTTAGAAGGCTGAGGCAGGAAGATCTCAAATTCATGTCCAACCCACACAACTTAGTGAGATTTTTTTTTCTCAAAAAAAAATTTTAAAGGACTAGGGATGTAATTCAGTAGTAGATAGAGCACTTGCCTAGTGTTTCTAAGTCCCTGGGTTCAATTCCCAATATTGCAAAAGTAAAAAAAATTCCCAGCGACATCTTTCATATACAAAAGCTCTCCCATACATGTCCTGAATTATGTTTTGCTGAATTCTGTGTCACTTGGCCTGGTTAGAACTATTATACGTCTCTTAAAATCTTTACTTAGCCAGCATACATCTCAATATGTAATAGTCTATGAATCATGATGGTTTTAACTTATCTTTTTCATACAAATTGTTCTACCAAAAAATATATTTTTGCTCAATGTTAAATTTTAATTTCCTAGAAGGAAAGAGCAGCAAAACAAATAGCTTTCACATACTATAATCTCTGAACTATCCACTAGCCCCACAAGCAATTTTACTAAGGTATAAAAATCAGCAGGGCTGGGGATTTAGCTCAGTGGCATTGTGCCTGCCTCACAAGTACAAGGTCCAGAGTTTGATTCCCCGGTACAAAAAAAAAAAAAAAATCAGCCAACTCACTGACAGGTAGGACCCTGCTACAGTTAGAGTGAGTATAGGCTTCAGACAATACTCTGTCTTTAGTTAATAATGCATACCAAAGAAATCCACATTTAATAGTTAATCTCTAAGAATTCAAAGTTATAGTTAAAATAATTGCCTAGGAGAAAACAGAGGTTAGCCAGGCATGGTGACACACACTTGTACTTTCTGGGAGGTTAAGGCAGGAGGACCCCAAATTTGAGCCCAGCCTAGGCAACTCAGCAACTTAGTGAGAACCTGTCTCAAAAATGAAAAAATAAAATTGGAGGTGTGTGGCTCAGGACAAAGATCCCAGGCTTAATACCCAATAATGAAAAATAAAATAGAATTTAAAAAATAAAGACAAAAGGGCCCAGGATTTATCTCAGCAACACCATGCCTGCCTCACCAGCACAAGGTGAGTTCAATCTCCAGTACCAAAAGAAAAAGAAAAAAGAAAATGAAGCCCTACTGGCAGTGCCTAAAATATATCAGTCTTATTCAGTGAAAAATTTATAAGTAATTCATAGAATTATTCATCATTCATAAGTAATAATTTTATTTATTTCAAAGGCTAAGATACAAATTCAACACAAAGAGATACTGCTCACCTCTGAAGATTTCTGAATATTCTGGAATATGGCATAGGTAATAAGTGAACTTGAACCTGTAACACTGACAAACAGATAATGATCATTAAAACAAGGCAATAAGGCTCCTTCAGTTTTGCTATTGATTTTTGTTATAATTTTATTGATATAATCTATGTAAAATAAACTAAACATTTAAAAAAATATGGAATAGCTAAACATGGTGGCACATACCTGTAATCCCAGCACTCGAGAGGCTGAGGCAGAAGGATTGCCTCAAGTTTGAGGCCAGCCTGGGCTACATAGCAAGTGCACTACAAAGCAAGACCCTGCCTCAAAAAAACAAACAGGGGCCGGGAATTTAGCTCAGCGGTTCGGTGGCCTGCCTTGCAAGTGCAAGGACCTGAGTTCAATCCCCGGTACCAAAAAACAAACAAACAAACACAAAAAGGAATATTTCATGAATTTGCATGTTACCCTTGTTCAGGGGCCATGACAATCTTCTCTGTATAATTCCACTTTTTAATGTGCCGATGAAGGGGGCTTTGGCTACTGATTTTGTAATCAGTCAGGCTGACCAGATTCTCCACTGACTTCAGATCTTATCACTCAATCTGTTTTTGTTTGTGTTGTTGATGTCATTACATTTTATTAGAAAGTATAAACATGGGCTGGAGATTTAGCTCAGTGGTACCATGTTTGCCTCGAAAGCACAAGGTCCTGAGTTCGATCCCCAGTACCAAAAAAAAAAAAAGAAAGAAAGTATGAACACAGTAAATGATATCATTTTTCTCTAACTAAAGAATAATAGCAAGTCTGGGGGAGGTATAGAAACCAGAGAATTCTCTAGTTTTGCTTATATCACTTTAAACAGTCATATTGTACAAGATTACACATACCTCAGAATAGCCATGACAAACTGAATCCACTGAATTGCAGAAAAAAACTAAGAAAGAGAAGAGAGAAAAATTAAACCTTTTACATTTAATATTCAACCTAACTCCAACTTCACTATTTATTAACCATCTCTCTAGCACAAATTCTTTTTCAAAGTCTAATCAAAACATATTACAAGTCTGAGAATGAGTGAAAAGGCTGAACAGGCCTCTGAAAAAGCAGGGTGGCGCCTTTTTCCCTCTCCCATTCTTACTTCTCTGGAAAATAGTAGAATAAATAGAGAAGTGGATAGAAAATGATTAGATGAAAAAAGAATTGAATGAAAAACTAAAAAAGGAGGAATAAAAGAGATAGAAAAGTTGAATTTTGAGAGAGAATACAGAAACATAGAAAGAATGGGTAACAGGAATGACAAATACTAAATAAGGCCAACAGCTGGAAAGTCAGAAAATAATGGAACATAAATAACACAGAACATAGAGAAGAAAAGTGAGTAACATGATGAGAGATATTGTAAGTGCAAAATATAGAACAGAGAGGAAGAAAAAGGAAGCAAAAAAGAAGAGATGGCCTGCTTCTGGCCTTACCAAGTCCCACTTGTCCTCCAGAGTGCTAACCTCCAAAGGGAAGGCCATGGGAACTTCTGTCCCAGCTAGCAGCAAGCGGCTCAGATCCTTCTCAGTCAAATTCTAAATTAGCAGTGAATAGGTAACTCCACCCCTAACCCAGCTAGGCTCCTCCCTACCTAATTCTGCACCCTACCTTGAGGGCAAGGAGTGAGATGACGACAAGAGGAGGAAAAAGGCTGAAAGCCCAAAAACAGAAAGAGCAGGTGACCAGGAAACAAAGTTGTACAAAGGATTAAGAATTATAAATAAACAGAAAGAATGAACCACAGTGAAAAGATAAATATAGGTGTAAGAGGAGAATGAATAGAAGGAAGGTCTGCTTTAAACTTATCACTATTTCGAGACAGAAGCCTGTGATAAAGAGATGGCAAATTTACTTAATAAAATATTGGGCCAGGGATTTAGCTCAGCAGCACTGTGCCTGACTTGCAAGCACGAGTTCCTGAGTTTCATCCCTGGTACCAAAAGAAAAGAAAAAAAAAAAAGAAATAAAGAAAAGCATTAGTAATACCAGTGAAAAGTTAGGAAGAAAGGAGATTATTAATGTTTATCATATTTAATACTAACATCTTTTTAAATATTCTGAATACAAAATTCTCCCTTGAAATATAATTATATTATTAAATTATACTATTCATTTAATATGCTTATGCTTAAATATCAATGTTGTGCAAAGCAGTGTGCTATGGAAGATTTAAAGATAAATAAGATACAGACTCAACTTTTCAGGAGCTTGTAATAGGAAAAATGGCTTCAATGCCAAAAACTCAATGAGTGCTTGCTTCAGCAGCACATATACTAAAATTGGACCCATACAGAGATTAACCTGGCCCGTGCACAAGAATAACATGCAGATTTATGAATTAAAAACTCAAATGACCTGAGTAACAGCAATATTATACACAGAGTAACAATGAACATGATTTGTTAGTAAAATTCAAACAAAAATCTGGGGAAAGTGAGAAAAAAGGAGGAATACTCATTTATACATCTTATATCACATTATTCATTCATCTTAATCTAATCATACTTTCATGTATTCTAAAAATATTTTTTCTTTGTTTTTTGTGGGGGTGCCCTGGGCATTGAAACCAGGACCTCAAAAATGCGAAGTATGTGCCCTGCCACTGAGCTAAAACACCAGCTCCCAAATATTTAATGACATAAATTAGATCATTTGCATGACTAGAGTAATTTAAACATATATTTATATCAAATTAAGATCATAGTCTGGAGTGACAGACCAGATATTGTTAAATGGAAAGTTTTAATAACTTCTGCATAAATTATTAGATAAAAAAATACTAGATGTCTGGATCAGAAACATCTCCAGCAAAAGATTGTGAAGAATGTTTTGAGGTCACCAATCCTATGTCTGTCTAATAAGAGTGAGGACAGTAGGAAAAGCATCTCCAAGTAATAAGAAAATGTTTTTGAATAAAAGATGCTTGTCTCAGTCAAGAACAAATCTCAAATTGTTCAGAGAAGAGCCATGCCAAATCAGTCTGCGGCTCTTGATAACATAATCAACCTTGGAGAACTTTTCCCTTTAGCATCTCTTCTAAAATATCTATGTCAGCCAGGTGTGGTGGTGCAGGCCTGTAATTCCAGCACTTGGGAGGCTGAGGCAGGAGGATCGCTGTGAGTTCGAGACCAGCCTGGGCTACATAGTTCCAGGTCAGTCTCAACTGTATAGTGAGACCCTGTCTCAAAAAACCAAAAATAAATAAATAAATAAATTAAATAAAATGTCTACGTCACCTACCAATATTTGGGGATTTATGTTTCAATTTCTCTCTAAATTAATCCCCTACCTTCTATATATTCAGCACTTTTTCCATCTGAATATCTTTGGAAATATAATCTTGCCATCTTTTTTTCTCTACAACAGCTAACCCAAACTCAAAGAACAAAGCAGGTGATATTTATTTTTTCTGTTTCCTTTTTCCTTTTTCCCTCTTTCTTTCTTTCTAAAGCTCTCAGCCAGGCATGTCAGCACACACCTGTAATCCCGATACTGGTAAGGTTGAGGCAGGAGGATTGCCTCAAATTCATGTCAACCTGTGCTACAGAGTGAATTCAAAGCCAGCCTGAAGTACATGGTGAGACCTTATCTCAAATAACAAACAACAGGGCTGGGATTTAGTTCAGTGGCACTGTGCCTGCCTTGCAAGTACAAGGTCCTGAGTTTGATCCCTGGTACAGCAAAAAACAAAAACAAAAACAAAAAAACAATAAAAAAAAAACTCCTTAGCAAGTTCAAACACATTCCAGTTCTCACTTAATGTAGTGGGTACTATATTCCACAGATCAATCAAAATTAACCGGTATACATTAAACTTCTACCATAAACTAACATTACTCAAACTGATACAAAGTCAAGAAACACAGCTATTAAAATATTTTTGCTGAGAAAAAAAAGTTTCTAAAATAAGGTTCTAATAATATAGCAGGAAAGTGTCAAGTGTTTTCTTTGTGTAAAGTTCTACACTAAGCATTTTAATCTTTCACATAAAATTTGAGTTGAGAAGTAATATTATTCCCTTGGGCTGGGGATTTACCTCAGTGATTTCGCCGCCTGCCTCACAAGTGGAAGGTCCCGAGTTTGATCCCTGGTACCACAAAAAAAAAAAAAAAAAAAAAAAAAAGGAAAAAGTCACATTTTACAGATGAAGAAGTTGAGCTGTCACTTTCCTAATATCATAAAGTAGAAACACCAATACTCAAACTCAGTATGACTCAAGAGTTCTCACTCTTAATCACTACATATTCTAGCAGGAAATTGGAAGAATAAGGAAAGATAATTTTTTAAAGTTAGTATGACATCAAGGGAGCTTTTTCGACTAGCTCAGATATAGAAAGGAGAGCACATATTTAGTGCTGAAGAGAGTAGCAGATCTTTCAAAAATTAGGCAATGGTTTCTCACATATAACAATAAAACAACAAGAAAATAGCAGAAAAAACACTCATCTTACTCAAAATTTAATTTTATAATTCTTGATGGTATTAAGAAAGTGAAAAAACCCACAGGAAGTGCAAATTTGTATTTGATGAAGACTATATGCAGTGTAGGCACATAAATACCTCAATAATAAGAACCCAATTAAAATCTAGGTGAAGGGGCCAAGGATTTAGCTCAATGGTGCCATGCCTTCCTCGCAAGCACAAGGACCTGAGTTCGATCCCTGGTACCAAAAAACAAAAATTCGGGACTTTGTTTTTGTGAGGTAGGTAGTGGTACCACTGAGCTAAATCCCCAGGCCTGGGTGAAGATTTTAAACAGAAAACTTCCCAAAAATGTATATAGGGCCAGAGATTTAGCTCAGTGGTGCCATGCCTGCCTCGCAAGTGCAAGGTCCCAGGTTCGATCCCTGATATCCCCCCAAAGAAGTATGTACATAACCAATAAGTATATGTAAGGATGCCAATATCACCAACCATCAGGGAATACAAAACCAAATCACAATGAGATGCCATTTTATTCCCAGTTGGATGGCTGTAATCAAGATATAGGGCCTGGGGATTTAGCTCAGTGGTACTGTGCCTGCCTAGCAAGTACAATGTCCTGAGTTTGAGCCCCAGTACCAAAAAAAAAAAAAAAAAAAAAAAAAAAAAAAAAAAAAAAAAGAAAAAAGAAGAAAACGACAAAGATGACTGGTTGTGAGACCACTCGCAAAAAAAAAAAAAAAAAAAAAAAAAGAAAAAAGAAGAAGAAGAAGATATAGTAAGTCAAGCATAGTGGCACATGCCTGTAATCCTAACACTCAGGAGGTTGAGGAAGGAGGGTTGCCATGAGGCCGAGGCCAGCCTGGATTACATACTGTGTTTAAGGCCAGTCTGAGTTATGTAGTAAGACCCTGCCTCAAAAAAAAATGTAGTAAATAATGATATGGAAAAATACAATAAATCCCCCTACACTGCTCATGGAATGTAAAATGGTGCAGCGACTTTGGCAATACAGTCTCCATTTTAACTCAGCTCTTAGATATAAACCCATCTCCTCCTAGATATATAATCAAGAAAAACAAAAACACACGTCCACCTAAAATGTTGGACACAAATTTTCATAGCAGCAATTATTCATAAGAGGCAAAAGTAGAAATGTCCAACTGATGGATAAATAAAATGTAATATGTCCATACAATTAGCAATAAAAATGAAAAAGTACATATATGCTACAACACTGATAAATCTTGAACACATGCTAAGTGTCAGAAGTCAGTAACAAAAAACCACATATATATCATATGATACCATTTCAAAGAAATGTGAAAATAGCCAAATCTATACAAATAGAAAGTAAATTAGTGGTTGCCTGGATCTAGGAGGTTAATCTGGAAAAAGGAGTGATTAATAACAGAAAAGGGGTTTTTTGGGGGTGTGACAAAAATGTTCTAAAACTTAACAGTAGTGATGGCTGTCCAACTCTGTGACTATAATACAATTACTGAATTATACATTTTAAAGAATGAATTATATAGTACACAGTTTATATCTTAATAAAGTTTTTGCCAAAAAAGGATGAAGTTCAAAGAAGCAAGGAAAGAAATGTCCTCTGCTGGAATTCATGATGCAGTGATTAATTGGTAACCCATTTCTTTCCTTCGTACTGGAAAGAATCCTATTAAAAAGTACAAAACAAACATCATAAGAGGGAACTGAAGATAAAGATTATGAGAACACCTGATGTTTCTAAATAAATCCACCACTTGTAGGCTGAACAAATTACATTCCAAGGTTTTGATGAAACTTACAGTTTAACCCATAAGCTACTGGCAAAATCTGAGCATTCATACAAAATCCAGTAGCTTGAGAGAAAATTGGAGATAAGTAAAACATTTTACTTTTATAATAAGAAAAGATGATAGAGTCTGTAAAACATAAATCAAGGAAATGTCCAAAGGTGCTTTTAAATAACTAGGGAAAAAGAAAGTAACTACTAAGTCAGCATGAGTTTATAGAAAAAGCATGACAGGGCTAGGGGTTTAGCCCAGTGGTGCTGCCACCTGCCTCACATGGGTAAGGTCCTGAGTTCAATCCCCAATACAAACAAACAAACAAGAAAAGCATGATAGACAAACTCATTCTCTTTTTGGATAGAACTATATAGTACACCTGGGATTTTAACAAAGCAATTGGTAAGCAGTTTCATGATATAAAAATGAGAACGTGTAGAAGGAAACTGATTGACAGAAAAGGACCCAGGTGCAAATAGCAAGCTACTTCAGGAAAACCACTCTCCTGCCCCTGTGGCATCCAATGAGGAGGATGAGTTGGTTCCAGGAGTGATGCTAACTCACATGATCTCACGTGCTGACTGAAGGGTTTTTTTGTGGGTTTTGTTTTGTTTTTCCCCATCTCAAAAGTTTTTGTGGTACATCTTCAACAGTATCTAGGCATTTTGCAAAGCTCAACCATCCAAGTATCACCATTCTTGTCATCACCGGCTGGTTTTGTGACAGTAGCAAGAAACTCTTCCTTTTTCTTTTCAACCTTAGTTATAGTAGCAGGGACTATAGGCATGTATAACTGTAAGATGAAAAAGTAGCAACATTTTTATTTTTAAATATTATTGAGTCTTATCTAATAGAAATTTTATGTGAACCACAGGTAATATTACACTTTCTACAACAAAAGTTAAAAAGTAAAAAGAGCCAGACATGGTGGCACAAGCCTAGCATCCCAGCACTCAGAATGCTGAGGCAGGAGAATCACCTAGAGTCTGAGGCCTGCCTGACTACATAGTGAGTTCAAGGCCATGCTGAAATACATAGCAAGACCCCATCTCAAAAAAAAAAAGTGAAATTAGTTTTATTTTAATTAGTTTTGTTTGGATTTTTTGTTGTGTTACAGGGGATCGAATCTAGGGCCTTGCACATACTAGGCAAGTCCTCTACCTAAGCTACATCCCTAGTCATTTCTACTCTGCTTTTTGAGATAAAGTCTTGCTAAATTGTCCAGGCTGGTCTGGAACTTGTGGCCCTCCTGCCTTAGCCTGCTGAGTAGCTGAGGTTGCAGGAACATGCCACCAAGTCCAGCTGAAATTAATTTTAATAATACATTTTACTTAACTCCAAATCCAAATTATTACTATTAATCAATATAAAAGGATTAATGACCTGACACGTCACTGTTACAGTGGCACATGCTGTTACAGTGATACATGCCTGTAGTCGCTGCTACTTGAGAAGCTGAGGCAAGAGATCACAATTTGGATAAAACACATTTCAAAGACTCAATAGCCACATAAAATATTCTAAGTGGCATTTGAATTTAGACTGTTCTTATTTATAAGAGTAGATTGTGGATGCTCTTGCATTTGGATTTCATCCTACAGAAACGCCTTATAAATTCCTGAGCAAAGAAATTATAAAGGACTAGAGATGTAGTTCAGTGGCAGACTGCTTGCCTAGCATGTGCAAGACCTTGGGTTTGATTCCCAGCACTGGAAAAGAAAGAAAGTATTATTTTAGGTTACATGCTAAGTAGTTCCAACTACTTGGGGGGCTGAGTCAGGAGGATCACTTGAGACTGTGAGGTCTGAGAACAGCTGGGGTAATTATAATAAGATTCCATCCTAAACAAACAATTATAACCATAAAAACTAGTCCTTAGTGAGTAAATACCATATGCCAGGCACTGATCTAAATGCTTTGTATGTATTAATTAATTTAATTTACCCATAATCCTATAAAGCAAGTTATTATTCTCATTTTATGTGACAATATGATCAACAATGATTATTAATATGATGACAATGTGCAAGACCAATTAAAAAAGCCTGCTGGGCATGGTGGCACACACCTGCAAATCCAGCACTCTGGGAAGCACAGGCAGGAAAATTACCAGTGTGAACCCAGCTTGGGCAATTGAGTGACTCGGAGATCCTGTCTCAAAACAAAAAGGGGCTGGAGATGTACCTCAATGCCAAAGCCCTGTGTTCAATCGAAGGTACTAAGAGGAAGAGGGGCAGCAAAAGTTGTTACTTTTATTTTATCTACTTACATCCACTTTGACCTAGATAATATTTCAGGTGATTTAAAAGACAAAATAACATGAATACATCAATTGAAAGTGGAACAACATAAAGAACATTTCTGTTTATGTGATTTGATCCTTCAATATTAAACCTTTTCTAAGTTATTGAATGTTATTTTATTGCAAAAGCAATTCAAAAGTAACAGAAATCCAAAGTAAAAAGTTTCCTGCTGGGTCAGAGATTTAGTGGCACCACACCTGCCTCTGGACTGCAAAGTCCTGAGTTTGCCCTGGTTTTAAAAAAAAGTTTTCTACAGTCCCATTCTCTAGTCAAAACAATGTTTGGATTTCTCTAATATTAACTGTTTTAGTTCTTATTCATATGCATATCCCATTTTTACATATTTGCAATAATTGCACAGCTAGTATTTTGTATTTTTATCAACATTATATATAACTTTTTTCCTTTGGCTAAGAATCTTATTTTCTGTCTCACTACTCCAACTAATATTAAAAGCCCAGTATCTTTTTTTTTTTTTTTTTTTCCTTCTGGTACCAGCGATCGAACTCAGGTCCTTGCACTTGCAAGGCAGGCAGAGGAATCACTGAGCTAAATCCCCAGCCCTATTTCTCTGTATCTTTATGTTTGTCAAAACATACTGATATATGAGGTGTGATCAAAATATATAGCAAATGTCTGAATTTTTAAAAAATCTATTACACTAAAAAAACTGCTATTAATCATTCTCAAAATACTTCCCCTCACTTCATATACACGTATCCCATGATTCTTGCCCCTTCTTGAAGCAGTCCTAGAACTCTTTTGTGTCTATGAGGTGTGATTAAAAATACGGTAAAGGCTGTTGACAAGTGCCAACAGACTTGCAAAAAACATTGTGGCATATGGCCTTGTCAACCACCTTACAGGGTATGGCACCATGCGACCTCTGGGTCTTCCTCAGAGTCAAAAGGACCATGAAAGATAAATGTTTTGAAGTGTCTCAAGACCTAAAAGCAGCTACCACCCTGCAACTAAAGACACTCACAAAAGCATAGAAATGCTTTGGGAAGTGGAAAGAATGATGGGGTAAGCGTTTTTGCAATGGGGTAGTGGGACCGGGGTGGGGAGATACTCTGAGGCAGGTTAATGGCTATGTACCTAGTAGTATAATATTTAAAATTTAAATATTCATATTTTTAAAAACATTTTTACACACACAAGCACATACACACATATACACGGGGGTGTGGGGCAGTGGTAGTAGGTTTTTGTTTTGTCTGTATATATTTGCAGTACTAAGTGATCAAACCCAGGGCTTTCACACTGAGCTCCCTGCTCTATTGAGTGAACTGACCCCTGGCAAAAGGGAGTCGCTGAGGACAGAATGACTGACCCACGGTAGGAGCAGGTACCCATCAATAGCCTGACGAACTGAAGGCAAGAGAACATGATGTCTGGTTTTGTCATCTTCCAAGGGGTGGAGGGACAACACAGGAATCTCTGAAGCCTCGCTGCGCACGCGTTTCCTGCTTTTTCCCACGCTGCAGCCGACCAGAATGGCGGCGGAATCAAGGTGTGCGCGTGCGCGGCGGCCTCTTCATGTGACTCTAACCCCCTGGATACTGCGCAAGATTCACTGATTGCGCGTGCGCGGACATCCCTCTTTCCCGCCCACTTCCCCCACGTGCCTACCCTCTCACCCTGGGCATGCGCGTGTGTGGCCAAGTGCCCGGCGGCCTCATTTCCCCGCCTCACAAGTAGCCCCTCCTTCTCACCCTAGGCAGACGCGAACCTCTCTGAGGGAACTTTGGCGCGCGCGCGGCACCGCCCTCCTACACAAGTGACCGCGGATTCGGAGTGTTCTCCACTACCGCTCTCCTACCTCCAGTTCCCAGAGTCCGGCGTTATGGCTGCCGCCGTTCCCCGCGTCGCCTCTCTCTCCTCTTTGCTTCCCCTTTTCCTGGGTCTCCTGCTTTTCTCCGTCCCTCATGGCGGCAGCGGCCTGCACACTAAGGGCGCCCTTCCTTTGGATACAGTCACTTTCTACAAGGTAACGGGGCGAAGCACGCGGCGCACAGGTGCATCTGGGGCGTCCGGGGGAGCGCACGCCCCTGGGCATGTAGGGTTCTGGGGCTGGCGGATTGTAGTCTACTTGCGAAGACCCCAGGGCTTCCCACCATCCTATAGGCCGAGTTGAGTCTGGACCAGGGGCGTACCCTGACCTCAGGGCACACGCTCTCCAGGGGTCCGGCGCACCCTTTCCTCTGCAGCATTTCTACACGCTTCTTTTGCAAAAGAGCTGCAAAGATGCGGCGAGGCGCCTAGGTGCCTCGCTTTACCTGTGGGGAGAGCACGGTGCCAGGCGAGATCCAATCCACGAGTCCCAAGTGGGAGACCCGAGGGTGGAATGAAGGCATCTGTACACGCCCTCAGGTTATGATGAGAATGGCAGGGAAAACTCCTTACTATGTTTTCTGGGCCTTTCTTCTCTAAGGATGGATTACAACATGCTTTGCAACACATAAACTGTATAGGTACGTTACACATCGTCTAGAAAAGTGAAGGCGTTAAGAATAAGCTGCAGGTGAGCTAGCCTGCAGGGAACATCTTGGGTCTGAGAACAGAATGAATAAAATCATTCCTCAAGGTGCAGAAGGAATTTGGGATCCTGGTCTGCCTAAGTGGACGATGGAAATGTTGAATACTGCACCCTCCTCCTGCTCCCCTCCTTTTGCTTCTGTTTCCAGTCACTAACAATTTTTAACTTCCTCTAGATCAGCAAGCTAAGTGTTGAGATATACTGTAGCCAGTCGTTTTATTTTTTGTACCCAATGTGAGGAAGTGAAACAGAACTGGAGCTCTAATGTGTCTCACAAGTAGTTGAACTCTTCTATTTTTGAAAAAGTTGCTTGCTTGTTGTGGACTTGACAGTTGTAGTTCATTGAAGGCAAAGTTTCAAAGGATTTAGAATTATAGCTGGGCATGGTGGTGCACACCTGTAATCCCAGCACTCAGGAGGCTGAGGCAGGAGGATCGCTGTGAGTTCGAGACCAGCCTGAGCTACATAGTTCCACGTCAGTCTCAACTACATAGTGAGACCCTGTCTCAAAAAACCAAAGGATAAAAAAGAATGTAGAAGTATAGAAAAGGATTCTTAGTTGTCAGATACACGCCCCTGACTCCCTGTGGTTTTTGGTCCTCTTTTGGCAAAGTAGGAATCAGGTAACGTCACAGTCCAGGTGTGACTCACAGGGATGCTTTACACTTTAAAGTTAAACTGTATTCCCTATTTTGTTGGCGCCACTCCTGTCTTTGCTACTCCACATTGCTTTAGGCAGTCATTTACCATGGCCTTCTCAGTGGCCTCTCTGCTTCCACCTTCAGGTTCAACTCAGCAGATCATAACTGATCTACACTTTGTCTCCTCTCCTTATCTGCCTCCCCCTGTCTTTGTACAGGCCTTCCTTCTGTCCTTTGTTCCTAGCTCATTATTACTTTTGGGCATTTCACTAGCTGTTCCTTGTGACTGCACCAATTTTTTTGCCCTATCTGAAAGGCATTGTTCAGGCTTAGGATAGTTTACCTGCTCAGAGCCTTTCCTTGGTTTCCCCCACCCTCAGGTCAAAGTGCCAGTCACATTAACCTGTTTGCTTTCTCTGTAGAGGGTCCCTGAGTGTTTTCTTTGGCATTGTTATCTGCCTCTCACACTGGACTATTCTATGCATGTGAGGAAATATACTATTTTGTTTATTATCTGCACAGGGTAGTAGGTTATCTGTCACATAGAAGAGGAGTGGTGGCACATGCCTTTCCCAGCAATTGGGAGGCTGATGGAGGAGGATTGCCACCAGTTTGAGGCTGGCCTGGGCTACAGAGTGAGTTCAAAGCCAGCCTGAACTACAGAGAGACCTTGTCTTAAACAAAAAAAAAGAGGGCTAGGGATTTAGCTCAGTGGCACTGTGCCTGCCTCACAAGCACGAGGTCCTAAGTTTGATCCCCTCTACCCCCAAAAAACGTTGCATAGATGAACAAAAGTTGTTTGTTTTTTTTTTTTAATCTCTTCCCTAATGTTTTCTTTTTTGGTACCAGGGATTGAACTCAGGACCTTGTGCTTGCAAGGCAGATGGTGGAAACACTGAGCTAAATCCCTGGCCCCCAAATCTGTTTTCCATTACCATTAAATACTAGAGGACTTTTCTAGTGTTGTGTAGTAGCCTTGTTTCATATTTTTGCCTTTCAGTGATTTTCCAACATCTTTTTTGCTTTTTTGGGGGGATACTGGGGATAGAACTCAGGACTTTGCACTTTCCAGGCAAGTGGTGGCACCACTGAGCTAAATCCCTGACCTTTTGCTTCTTGCCTTTTACCATCCCTTAGAATGTAAGATTCTTGTTTTGTTCACTGTGTTCACTTAAAATAGGTGGCTGGCACATGATGAGTCCTTAATAACTTTTTATGCAGTGAATAAAGAATTTTTCTCGGGCTGGGGATTTAGCTCATTGACACAGTGCCTGCCTGGCAAACACAAGGTCCTGAGGAATTCGATTCTCCATACCAAAAAAAAAAAAAAAAATTCCCTACAGTACTTTGAAGAAGGAGGTTGCCTGATTATAGGTATAGAAGAGTTGATTCCTCGGGCTGGGCATTTAGCTCAGTGGTTCCGGCGCCTGCCTTGCAAGTGCAAGGGCCTGAGTTCAATCCCTGGTACCAAAAGAAAAAAAAAAAGAAGAAGAAGAAGAATTGAATCCTCACAATAGAAGGAGAGAGATTTCTTCTTCTTTTTTTTTTTTGTATCTTGCACTTGCAAGGCAGGCACAGTGCCTCTGAGCGAAATCCCTGGCCCCAGTAAATGCTTTTTTAAAAAAACAAAATAAAAGACTGCAAGCTAGGAGGTTGAGGTAGAAAGATCACAAGTTCAAGCCCAGACTAGGTGATTTGTCAAGACACTGTCACAAAATAAAAAGAAATGGGCTGCGAATGTAGTTCAGTGTGAAGGCCCTGGGTTCATTAGCAGTACTGCAAAAAGGGGAGGGGATTGGTGAGACAAGAAAAAATTCTGTAAATATTTGCCCATTCTAAATTTGTCTTACCCAGGTATCTAAGAATGGTACAGTTAAAAGAGGGAGGTCTCTCAGTTCTATTTCAGTGTTAGACTACTGTGTGATTATTTCTCCATAATATAAATACATTTACCTGAAGTTAGGAATCTCATAGTGTTTTGTTGTTTTTTAAAATTATTTTTATTTTGAGACAAGGGCTAAGTTGCTCATTCTGGGCTCCAACTTATGATCCTCCTGCTCAGCATCCCAGAGTGCTGGCCATGTTGTGCTTTTTATATATGTTTTCTTCTGGATCTGTAGCATCTGGTACAAAACGCTGCAGAGTTCACTTCATTCATTGTGTATTTTCAGAGGCTCTACCACACTTCAGCCACTGAGGGCCCCTAGGGAAGCAGCAGAAAACAGGTCAGACAACATCCTTACTTTCATAAGTGTATATTCTAGGGGAGAAGGCGGAAAACAAAGGATTTTGGATTTTGAAGAATGACTAATATGATGAAGAAATAGAAGTATTTGATAGGAATGCAGTAGTAATAGATAATCGAAGGAGTTCTGTGCATTGGAAGGGGACATTTGAACCAAGCCTTGAATCATAGAGTCAGCCATGCAGAGAAGTGGGGGAGGCCATTACATGCAGCAGAGAACAAATGGACGGGCCCTGAGCAGAACGAGTTTAGTCTAACAAGGCCATTTGGGCTAGAGGGATATGATCTGATTTATATTTTAAGTTTTCCCTGTTCTAGGCCCCCAGAGCACAGACTTTGGGTGTCATTGACCATTAAAAACGACCTGTTCTGGCTTCTCCTTCCTTTGTATCCCTAGGCAGTGTTGAATATTCTTAAAAACCTAAACCCAGATAGACATCACTACCCAGTAAGGGATGCAGCCTGACATAATTACAGGCAGTGATTGCCTGTGATGAAAACCTGACCGTGTTGTTCCCTGGAGTAGAAAAGCAAAAAGATTGTGGAGGAAGGAAAGGCAATATTACTGGCCAGAGCTGCCTTGTTAGGTAAAATCTGCATGGGAAGAAACCATCAAAAGATCTTTGGTTCCTCAGTAAGTTAAATGAAGACTTACCGTGTGTCCCCCTCAGTTCTGCTCCTATGTATACTCAATTAAATAGAATGTTCAAACAAAAATGTGAATATTTAGGGCAGTACTAAACACAACAGCCTAAATATCCATCATTTGGATAGTTTATTTACCTATAAAAAGGAATTTATCTATAAAAAGGACCTGGTCATGCATGTCTGTAATCCCAGCACTCGGGAGGCTGAGGCAGGAGGATCACTGTGAGTTCGAGACCAGCCTGGGATACACAGTGAGTTCCAGGGCATTCTGAACTATGTAATGAGACCCTGTCTCACAAATAAACCAAAAGGAATGAATTACTGATGAGTACTGCAAGGACAGACCTTAAAAACATTATTCTAAGACAAAGAAGAAGCCAGACCCAAAGATACATATTGTATGATTCCGTCAGAATAGATAAATCCAGACCCACAGCTGAGGCAAGAA